CGGCATAAGTTTTATTTCCTTATGTTTTTTCAGAAATGAGAATGATTTTGATTGGTTCTCCATTATACTGACATGTTGTTATAACAGAATAAATTCTATATTTCTAAAAAAAGTTGACAAATTATGTCATTATACTAGTATAACGAGATAAATAATAGGTGTCATTTAATTTCGTCATTCGTAATTGATTTCGTCACCCGTAATTAATTTCGTCACCCGTAATTAATTTCGTAATTACGTATTACGTTTTTGACAAAATAATTACCATCCCATGTATAGTGATGAATCAAGATATAATTTGCATCAAATGATGGTAGGCAAAGGGTCTGGCATTGGGGTGTGAGATGCCCTAATTAAATCAAAATTAGGTGATGTAACATAATGCCGATCAATAACAAACTTTTTTTTAAAAAAATACGAGTATATATAAAAACTATATAAAATAAAAATTGTATCAAGGCCTTCAAATAAAGAGATACAGACATGAAATTAAGCGAAGTTATAATAAATAGATCAAGCTTTAAAGTTACAGAGAGTTTTTTTTCTTGCCAAATAAAAAAAAAATTTTTTATATATAGTAAAGACATTGAAAAAAGTTCGCTAATAGATAAAATTTGTAACCAAATGGGTTAGAGAAAAAAGCTTTCTGTAACTTTATTATAAAAGACTTAAACAATAAAACTATAAAAAAATTTTTTTAATTTCATTATGAAAAAAAAAAGTTATCATGGTTTAAAGTTGTTCGGATATATTACCGTAAAATTTCCGCTACAGTTTTTGTAAATCTTTTCCTTTTAAGGATAAATCAGACCAAAACGTAAATTCAAAAACGTTCATAACGTTGTCAAAAAGCTTTCAATTTATTATTTTGTTATCTTATTATTATACCGCATTACATTAGCTTTTGAAAATCTCATTTTAGGAATTGTTTATGTTAGTAAAAAATTTGATCTAATAAAATGGCACCATTAACCAAAAGAAGTAAACAACTTCTAAAAGCTCCCCCAGTAATACAAAATCAAACACTCATAGAACCACCAATTGACCTTAATATTTCCTCAACATTTAGTAATAAAGCTGTAAAAGCTAAACAGGAATTAATGAATAAAATCAATATTTTACCTGAGAAGCAAATTTTTTCGTGTTCCAAATTGCTTGAAATAATGGTTTATCCAGATGGAAATCATAAGGGTGAAATTATTTCACCATATCTACAAAAAAAAAGCAATGGATTTACTTCTGCCAACTATTGGAAAGCTGGAATCTAGTGCCCAAGAGATTGAAAATAAAATAAAATCCATAGAGAAAGAAAATAATATATTAACAAAGAAAAATGAATCTATTGTCTCCAAACATAAATTTTTAGCAATTAAAATAAAGATCATTATATCTCATGAATAAGATCAATGATCTCAAAAAAAAAATACATATCTAAAAAAGAAATCCAAAAAGGTATTAAAAAGATGGTCAAAGAGAATAAACATACCTATACACTTGAGTTCATTGCTCTAGTGACCCAAATGAGCAATATAGGTCAATCATCATTGTCATCAACGGTACAATGCACAAGGGAATTCTTTACTTTCCTGGTTGGTGATTCCCCTGATACTTGGATCTCAACAAGTACTTTATCTAAATGGAATCAAGATGTAGCAAGAATAACAGTTTCAGAAAATCTTCCAGGGACCACTTCTCAATTCTCATCATATGGGATCATGGCAGATGAAAGTACAAGAGGTGATAAAAAATATTTTTAGTATGTGTCTCACATTGGAATGTAGTAGAAGAGAAACCTATACTTACAATCCTGAACATGAAGGATCTGGATCGGTGCAATTCAGATACTGTATCTACATATGTACTTGAGGCAATCAGTTCATTTAACTTGGATCCAAATCATTGTCTATATTGGCTTACTGACAATACTAATTATATGTCAGGATCTAAGGGTGGTGCTGTTGTAAATTTCAATCAAAGGTGTGGAACAAATGCGATTAGAATTCCATGTAGCTTACATGCTGTTCATATTGCAGCAACAACATTTGACAATTCTGTTTTTGGAAAGATCAGTTCCCCTTCAGGTCTTTCCTTGAATCCACATCCATTCAATGTTATAAACCTTGCATATCATCTTCATAGTGGTCACAATGAATCTAATAAAGATAACCTATTAAATATGAAAAATGAAACTATTAGTAAAATGTATAAAGCATTACTGAATGTAGACCTCAAAAAATATCAGAAGCCAATTACAAGCTGTTGGTTATACCAGTTAACTACAGCAAAACAATACTTGGAACGTCGTGAGCTTCATCTTACATTTACTAATTGGTTTGTTGAAAAATTAGAAGGTTCAAGGAATGTACCTGAGGGATATTTGCATAAATGGAAAACGTTTTTAGGATTCCTAGAAAATGAAAAATTAAATATAGAAATTTTAATAATGGTAAAATTTGGGAAGTGGTTCTATGAAAAACTAATGTATTTTTTAATCAGTTCTGATACTAACTCAAGTCACCCTCTACCAAATGGATATCGTGCTCATCAAATGCCTGACATGGTACAAACCTGGATTAGTGAATTAGAGAATATTGTGCATGAACCTGAAAAAATCTTCATGGATGAATTATTGGCAGCTTCTGATCATTTAAATGAACAGGAATTCTTGAATTTAGCTCAAAGAATGCAAATTGGGATTGAAAAAACTTCAAATGCTTTCAAAAAATGGATGATTACCTGGATTAAATTTCTGCTTTGCATATGCAGTCTTGGAGGAGAGCATGGTCCCGAATTTGCACAAGCCATTCTCCATGTAATTTTTTCTCATCCTTTTCCTGATGATCAACCTACAGTAATAGTAAAAAAATATATAGGAAGATTAAATAAGAATTTAGAAGATCAGAGTAATTCATTAGGGTTATTTGAAGCATTGGAAAAAAATAACTTTAGAGAGCAATTTGTTGCATTTTCAAAAGCTAATTATATTCAATTAAAAGAATTTCCATTGATATATGATTTCGTTAGACATTGTATCTGGTCAATAATAGTTCATCAATAGCATCTTGAGGGAATGTTTAATAGATTTGATATTAGAACCCATCCCAATATGTGTGATTCTTTATGAGAATCTAGACTTTAACTTTCAGGCCCCACTTCATTTAATCATGTAATTACTGCAAAAAAATTACAGTGACCTGAGTAAAAAGAAGGGAGAAAGCTTCTTTGCCTATGAATCCAGTTATTGGTGGAGAAGAAGCAATAAGATTGACAGAAGAGCTCTTAATATCGAAAAATAAAAGTAACTGATAAATTAATAAAATTTCTTTTTATAATTCATTTTTTTTCAAAGAAAAATATTCTTATCTTTATCCCTTTTTAATATTCAAATATCCAAATTATATTTGAAATACATCAGATGACTTTTGTAGTTTCAAATAATCATAAATATTTTGAATAATCAAAATGTTTTAATGGTCATAAATGGTTTCAATAACTAAATGTCCTGTAGATAAAATATTTAATTGACAAAATTTGATTAATTTGATTTTATTTATATATTACAAAATATTTTACCTTTTCCATTGCATTTGGTTGAAGAGAATACCATGTACATGTAGTAAAATGAGAAATGTAATTATTAGTTGAATTTTTATTTTTTATTTTTTTATTGTATATCCCATCTGGATGTTCAGAAGATACATTTACCTTTATCTTACAGATTTTATAATCATCATGATCCTTTGGTCTACCTTTATTTATTTCGATTTTATTTTATTATTTGATAAAATGTTTAGAACTACATGTAGTAAACCAGAAGGAGTATTATCATCACTGTCATCAATTATTATTGTACTGTTACTAATTACCATTTGTCAAAAAAGATTTCATGAATAATTTGCAAGGTGTTATGCAATATTTAATATTAATGGCTCTATTTATGGCTATTCAAATAATATTTCAAATAGTAATATATTTCGAATATTGAGTGATGATGATAATAATTATTTAATAAATTCTAGTGTAATGTTTTGAACAATTCAGCCCTAAAAAAATCCGCATATAATAATTTGTTATATGATGTAACATATGTTTGATGATAAACAGCCATGGAACACCACAATAGTTCACCTCCTTCAAAATCTCCTAAAACAACAAGACAACAGAAACCATTTTCCACATCATTTGTGTCCCAATGATAATCACTAATAGTATTGTAATTAATAGCAATCATTAAGGTTTTTGGTCCAAACTGTTTTCTCAAAGCCCAAACTAGTTTGGGCAATTTGGGCTTCTCAGCATTTTTTATAAACAACTTTAAAGTAATTTCACCCAATTTCGGCTAATAACAAAAAATAGTTTGGGCTCATAAAAAAGTAATTTTTGCCCAAAGTGTTTTGGCAATTTCGGCTACTAATAAAGAAAGTTTTGGCTAGAAACCTTAGTGATTATTGGAAAAACTCCAAAGTATTTTGGTGCAAATGACCCCCATGCCAACTTGCTTAATTCCTTGTATAATTCTCCATAATTATCTTGAAGAAAGTTATTGATGCTATTTGAGAGTGGTTAAAGATTATGAAGGAGATTATCAACACATTACTTGTAATCTGCATTATGTGAGCTTGCAGTATCAGAGCTAGTGTTGTGAGATCAAAATCCGCATCTCACACAAATCTCTTGTATTTGGTTAGAATATTATTTATCCCTTCTTATGGCAGTATCCAATTATTTAATTCTTTGATTACTTTCTTTCACTATAGCGCTCAAGCTATTTAATTATTTACAGGGCAAGTTTCCTTACTTCCCTTCCAGTAACATTTTCTCAGCAGTCCTTTGTTATCTGTCTGAGCCGGCATGTCTCAATGATATTTATAATAGCTTAAGTATCTGCCATGATAATTTATACACTTATTATTATATCTATGGCTCAGTTTCTTAACTGACCTCACCTAGCTAGGATTTCCACTATTTAGGCATTGGCCTAATCTAAATAAAATAAAGAAATAAAATTAAAAGAGAATACACACACACAACTATACTTATCAAAGGTGTCCCCTTGGTAAGATAGTAATTAATTAAGTAATTGAGTTAGAGTGAAAGGTTTATGTGATTTTGGAAGTGGGTGGATTATACCACTGGCAAGAGATTTATTTTAAGAGATATTTTATGTTCATATTCATTATTAAGATATTATTGTTGTTACAAGATAAAAAGTTAAGAATGAACTAACTGAAGATTACATGAAAAGAGAAATTTACAACATATTTATACATGTTAATGGTTCTATCATCTAGTTCTCTGACTTCATTGAAATCCTAATTTATACTAATTAATATATTCCTTAAACATTATTTAAACCTTCTGTGTAGAATTATTTTCAAGTAATTTCTAGTCATGTAAAATTTTTTTGTTTAAATATTATTCTGAGATTTGGTAATCTGTTACACTTTAGAATGTTGGAATATTTATATCTCCAATATTTGGGTTATTTTCCGAGAGCTATTTATTTTATTGGTGTGCCTTATTAATCAATGTAACATTTATTAAATTAAACTGGTTTATTTATTGTTAAGTTATTCGCTTCCAAATTTTCACTTCATAACACATGTAAATCATTTCCGATTTATGTGTCAGTTTCCTGTGATCTATAATTTATTATTTTACACTACAGTCAAAGCTCGTTATAGTGGACACTCGGTTCCGGGCATTTTTGTCCACTATAACGAATTTCCACTATAACAAAAAATCTCTTTATAGTGGACTTATTATAAATAAATTGAAAAGTCCCTTATAACGAGAGATCAATTTTTTATTAGTAACACAAATAAATTCACATATATACGTAGTAATTAATTATGAAATAAAACTGTCTAATGTAAGTTGTTTTGCATTATCCTGAACATGTTTATGAATTTTTGATTTTAAATTATTAATCATTTTTAATTCTTGATAACTAATTGTAAAATTATCTGGTGGATTTTTTAAATATTGAATCACTTTTTCTAAATTATTTAATGCCTCTTTATCAGAAATAACCACCGTTTCCACCTCTTCCTCATTATCAGAATCATCAACCTCAGGATTTGGCTCCACTGCTCTAATAATTTCTTCATCAGTTAGTTCTTGTATTGGTGCTTCATCATCAATGTAAATAAAATGGTCTGCAGTGATTGGATCTTCCAGGTTTAGTGCATCAATTGAATTTTGTAGTTCAGAAATTTCAACAGAAGAAATTTGATTTAAATTTATTGCTTCTTCAGCATTAGGTAGGATTTTTGTTTTTCTCCAACAATTTACAATCGTGCTTGATTTTACATTTGTCCATGCTTCACTTACAAAATTTATTGCATCAAGGATATCAACTTCTTTTATCTTTACATTTTCTTCTTTTGCATTTTCATATTCTTTTATCCTATTTTCCACCAAAATCTTTCTATATTGAGCCTAAGATTAAAAGTAAGTTAAATAAAATTCAAAATTTCGAAAATTAATAAAACATTCAAAATTTTTTTTTGCTCCTTACCTTGAAGCTATTAATGATTCCTGCATCCAAAGGTTGCAAGTGGGATGTGGTGTTCGGAGGAAGGAAATGTAATTTAATGTTTGATAAAGGTAAATTTTCATTTATTATATGGGTTGGAGCATTATCTGCTAATAATAAAATATTTTGATTTTGTTGTCTCATCATTTTATTAACCTTTTCAAGATAATTATACCATACTGATGCCTGCATCCAAGCAGTTCGGTTCCAATAATACCAAACTGGCAAATCATCCTTATTGATTCCTTTAAGAACTCTTGGTGTTTTGTATTTATGTATAACTAATGGGGGTAATTTATGACTACCATCAGCATTACATGTTAAAGCAATAGTGATGCGGTTTTTGGATTTTTTAGTACCAGAAATTAAATGATCAGAAAGAGTTTTAGATGGCTCTAAACTCCAAAATAAAGCTAAGTATTTTTAAAAAAGTTATATATACTTTAGTAAGAATTTCAATTCAAATAAATTTGGCTATATTTATACAATTACCAGTTTCATCAATATTATAGACATCACAAAGATCATATTCCCCAATAACTTCTCGTAAAATCACTCTTTCATCATTTAGTGTTTCCAAAGGTGCACTATTTGCCTCACCTGCTTTATTATATTGTTTTATGTTATAGTGTGCTTTAAATTTTGTTAACCACCCATCTGATACACCAAAACTTGTTACTTGTAATCTCTCAGCAAAATGTGTTGCTTTGCTTTTTAATATGTCTCCACTAATAGCTAAATTTGATGCCAAAGCTTGACTCATCCATAAATACAATGCAGCTTCAACCTCAGGAAATTTAGCACCTCTTTCTCTTTTTAAATTGCTAGATTTTACATTTGAGGTATTAATAGATGTCCATTTATCCTTCTCTTTTATTATATTACCAGCTTGTGATTTTGATATTCCAAATTTTTTTGCGATTTCATCTAAATTATATGATGGATGATCTCTTTTCCATTCACATATTTCTTTCTTCTCCAAAAAAGTTAAACTCTTTCTTTTCTTAATTTTTTCTTCATCATCACTTCCTTTAGTTCTCTTTTCTGGTGGCATTTTAAATATATAAATAGTACCGAGATATTGATAATATTACCAATTAAAAAAAAATTATAACAAGGTAAATGACAAAATGATGATAAATGATAAATGATTTTTATTTATTGATTAATATTAAAATTTCATCTGAGATTTTTCTCTCTTTATATAAACAATTTCTTGTATAAAAGAAATACTATAACAATATACTATTACAATTTTTTTTAAAACAATTTAATTTCGTGTAAATAATTCTCTTTGTTGTTAAAGAATCAACTAAGTCTTTTTTGAAAATGAAAAGGTATTTTGACACTGCTAAAAAAAAAGAGGATAATGTATAAATTAATTTATTGTCAAAGAAATCAACTAAATCTTCAAAAACGTGAATACTTTCCACTGCCAAAAAAATCAGCCTTCTTTGTTGTTAAAGAAATTAACCAAGTCTTTTTTGAAAATGAAAAGATACTGTTGAAAAAAAAGAGGATAATGTATAAACATTAATTTATTGCCGCCATCAAAAAAAAAATAATGCGCAGATCAAAATTTATTGTTAACAAAATAATTGTTTACCTTTTTTTAATATACAATTTTGTTGACCACATTAACACTAACCATTAATGTAAAAGATTGCCATAAAACCACATGATTTCCACTATAACGAGCATAATTCATAAGGTATGTTCTATATCAAATTTTTTAAAAGTCCACTATACACAATAAAGAGATTTATTAAGAAGTCCACTATAACGAACAAATTTTATTATAAAGAGAATTGGGGAAATAGAAAACGTCCACTATAGGCAAAATCCACTATAATGAGATCCACTATAATGAGCTTTGACTGTACCACAATCTTCAGTTGGGGAAAACATAGTTCACCTCCTTCAAAATCTCCTAAAACAACAAGACAACAGAAACCATTTTCCACATCATTTGTGTCCCAATGATAATCACTAATAGTATTGTAATTAATAGCAATCATTAAGGTTTTTGGTCCAAACTGTTTTCTCAAAGCCCAAACTAGTTTGGGCAATTTGGGCTTCTCAGCATTTTTTATAAACAACTTTAAAGTAATTTCACCCAATTTCGGCTAATAACAAAAAATAGTTTGGGCTCATAAAAAAGTAATTTTTGCCCAAAGTGTTTTGGCAATTTCGGCTACTAATAAAGAAAGTTTTGGCTAGAAACCTTAGTGATTATTGGAAAAACTCCAAAGTATTTTGGTGCAAATGACCCCCATGCCAACTTGCTTAATTCCTTGTATAATTCTCCATAATTATCTTGAAGAAAGTTATTGATGCTATTTGAGAGTGGTTAAAGATTATGAAGGAGATTATCAACACATTACTTGTAATCTGCATTATGTGAGCTTGCAGTATCAGAGCTAGTGTTGTGAGATCAAAATCCGCATCTCACACAAATCTCTTGTATTTGGTTAGAATATTATTTATCCCTTCTTATGGCAGTATCCAATTATTTAATTCTTTGATTACTTTCTTTCACTATAGCGCTCAAGCTATTTAATTATTTACAGGGCAAGTTTCCTTACTTCCCTTCCAGTAACGTTTTCTCAGCAGTTCTTTGTTATCTGTCTGAGCCGGCACGTCTCAATGATATTTATAATATCTGAAGTATCCGTCGTGATACTTTCTACATTGATTATTATATTTATGGTTCAGTCTCTTAACTGACCTCACTAAAAGCACTAAAAGAAAAGAAAAGAAATAGAAAATAATAAAATTAATAGAGACAAATATAAAATAAGAGAAAATAATTATGCACGGGATTAGTATAAATTTGTCGTTAGGGATAGATTTATTATCATTACGAAAATATAATGTTTGAAGACCACAACGACAAGGTCAAGGTTTATTTATTATAATATTTGAGTTTACTAAAAAAACTTATAAAACTAATGATTACATGAAAGAGAAATTTACAACGTATTTATACATTTTAGAGGTTCTATCATCTAGTTCTCCGATTTCTTTAAAATCCTAAATTATATTAATTAATGTATTATTTAAACCTTCCATGTAGAATTATTTTCAAGTAATTTCTAGTCAACATGAGTCATGTAAAATAATTCTTTCGTTTAAATATTATTCTGAGACTTTGTAATTCGTTATATTTTAGAATGTTGGAATATTTATATTTCCAATATTTCCGTGAGTCAATTATTTTATTGGTGTTTGAATAAATTTAACTGTTTTGATCACTTGATCAGTTTTTCCAATTTTATTTGCGTGTAACTTTGTAAATCATCTCTGATTTATATATCAGTTTCCCGTGATTTATAATTTACTATTTTACAGTGTAAAGAAGGAGATTGTATAGTGTATAAGCCCCAAAACGTTCAATAAGCTCATTAAAAAATCCTTTACTTTGATGAGATGGATTATTCAAAGTATGGAAACAGTAATTGTTGATGGCATTTGTAGCTTCTATAATGGCAAGTGGGTTATTAAGTTACTCGAGATGTATTAAGGTTTTTCCATCCAGATCTGTAATGCACTCAGGTTTCACAACATAATGAAGTTTCTTCAACCCATCCAGTGAACTGAAATCCTTTTGTGCTTTGATAATCAGATTGGCCTTCTTTGTGATGGTCTTTTTATCAAAATTATTTTCATTATTTTTCAAGTCCAAGGCATGTTGGAGTCTTTTCCACTTATTTTTGAGAAGGCGTCACACTTCCCTTGGTCCAATTGGTTCCTTAAAGCCTATCCATTTTCCAAAAGCAATCCACAATTTTTTGTTAAGATATGATTCCTCATTAATTTCAACTTCTTTGTTGGTTATTTCTCTGTTGATCAATTTGAGAAAAACTTGAGGAATTGCATATGAATCAAGATCACTATTGCCTAGTTTTGCCTCTCAGAATAAGGTCTCAATGAATAAATCTTGAGTGGATACATCTTGTTGAGTCTTGCTTTCTTTTGATGATACATAATCTGAGATACAGAGGGGAATGCTTGTCCATTCCTTTTCAATATAATAAATCTTATCATCTGTGCACAGTCCTCGATTTTCAGATTGGGTTTGATGCTAAAAATAGTTTGATAGTCAAATTTTGAGAAATATATTATAATAAAAATATAACAGAGTGTGTTAATATATTGTGCCATATCTAGTAGTCAAACATTTTTATTGTTGTTTTGCTTCACAAACATATGTTACTCTGGATAAAGAACAATTATACCTTTAATGGATCAAAAATGATGTCAATGGGGGTGGTAGGTAATGGTAAGTCTTCTTCTGGTTCTTGAGATGCTTCTTGTTTCTTATGTTTTTTATTAGAGTGTTGATTTCATGAGAGCTTTTTAGTAGGAATTGCTTCCTGAGATGAAATGGCCTCAATTTTTTGCTTCTTAGGTATATCCATTGTAAAATTGATTAACCTATAAAAAATGGTTTTCTATGAATTTATTTTTTATTTTTATTTTTTGCAATTTATTATCAAATTAACAATCAGAATTTCATAATCAAACACCCCACCCAAAAATTTAAATAGAAGCATTTTTTGGTCTAATTAATTTATAATCTTACAAATACATGGTCAAATTTATATATACAAAAATGGATTTGATCTGCAGCGCAGATCAAAATTCATCCAATAAAGTTTTTATTTGACAGAGACAACTTACTTTATGAATGGTTATAATGAGGTTCGCACTTTTCTTCCAAAAACAATTATGACAAACAAATATAGCAAATACCACAATCTTATAATAAAAGGAACAATCTTGGTTAACTCGGGTAGGTTTGTGATTTTTTTCTTCGATTTTACATATAAAATTATCATTAATTTTATATAGTTGGCTTGGTCTAAAGACCTCCTAAATTTTGTGCAAATTTTAAAAGTATAGAAGTCATTTTCTGCCCTACCTTTTAAAAAAATAGCTCTATTAGTTGATGGAATAGGTCTTTAATTTTAATGTAATAAAGAGATTTTATCAAAAAAATTATTTGTTGTAGAGTTCTATTCTTTTTTAAAACATGTACTTTACTATGCTCATGAAGAATTTAGCGCTAGGATCATTGCTAAATTTAGACTAGTTTTAGTTCATCGTTACTAAATTTAGACTAATACTCGACAATCATGTCTAAATTTGGCAGGAAGGAAAATAATTTTTTAACCAAAATCACGTGATGCCTTTTTGAAAAGTTTTTATTGCATTTTTGAACGAATCATGAAATTGAAATTTGAGCGTGTGGCGCAGCAATAGGAGGTCTTTAGACCGAGCCAACCATATATGAGTGACACTTGACCCCATATAGATTTGCGACTGATAATAATTACATATTGTGATCGGATTTTTGTAATTGTAAAATTGAGATAACAAGACTGCTAAGTTTTTAGATTAGAAAAATATTTTATTTATTAATCCTTAAAATTGTTAATAAACTTTTTGAATAAAACCATTATTATTTACATAGGAATAAAATGTAAAGGAAAAATAATAATAAATGATTCTGCTATAAAAAACATACCTAAATGAATTTTTATTTGCAATTGCCTAAACCTTACATATAAGCAAAATTTGACTTTTGAGAGTCAGATTAGATTATTTTCAGTTTTATTAAAGACTTGCTTTAAACTTTTTCTTGAAGATATGTGTTATTTTAAATTTCTTTTGCGACAATTGTTGTAATCCTTTGCAATTTTGCACACAGCAAAACAATATGGTTGGCATGTGAATTTTCCGATTCACGCTTTCAAATTGTATGTGAGTTTGAAATTCATGTCAATTTAAAATTGACATGAATTTTGGGGTATTTAAAATCCACATACCAATTTTTATTATAAAATTTTTTTCACACATCAATGTGAATTTCAATTTCACGCGCAACAATATGTATACTTTTGCCAAATTTATGTAGATCTCCATTGTTTAGCATCTTACAAAATTACAAAATGATTGATATTTTTTATTTTTAAAGGTTAGGTACTTAAAATGTACTCGAAATATTTAAAATATGGAAAAAGCAAGAGTATTTTAAGAGTACACTAAAACATACAGTACTTAAATATACTGCATGCTTAAAACATATTTATTCATATGATTTAGCATACTGAAATACACTTGAAAATGAAAAAAGTTTAGTTCAAGTGTCAAAATATTCGTAGGATCTGAAAGAGAAAGGTTCGAGTATAGAAACAGGTCTTTCGCATCACAGGGTTTGAATTTGATTCTGTCAAAACCGTGAACCAGAATTTGACCTGGTGAATTTATCAATTGGTTACTTTTTCAAAGAAGTTGTTGTTGTTGTCATGGCTTAGATTATCATCTGCACTAAAACCACGAATAATAAATGTTCCAATTGAGCTTTCATATTTTCACATAATTTTTTTAAAAAACCAGCAATTTACAGCAAGTGCAAGTTTTCTGGCAGAAATAAAAGTGACATTATAGTATTTGTATTAGTATTTGCTTGAAGATTTTAATTGATGATCTGTGAATAAGTGAAAACATAATAATACAATTGCATCAGGAAAAATAAATCTTTAATTCATGCAAAGTTCTTCTAAAAGTCTTTTAATTGAAACATTATTGTTGATTTCTTTTCTTATTGTTCAGTATATCTATAAAATAATAATAAATTATTTATAACATCATAAATAATAATAATGTAGTGGAACAAAAGTATAGTACAATTTTTCTAATAAAGATCGATTAATATTGTTTTTAATCGAAATTCAAGATTAATTTGAAAATTATAGTTTTAATTCAAAATTCAAAATTTACACGAAATAACAAATTATACATATCCTCAAGTCTTACTAAAAACTTTTCAGCCACATAATTCATTGCTTCAATTCTTCTTTCCAAAGTATTTTCATTAATTACGATATTTTCATTGTCAAAGAATTTATTTCACACAAAAATCATCAATTTGATATTTATTTCAAGATAAAATTGTTTTATTTCAATAGGTGCATATGGACATCTATTCGCTAAATGTTCTTGTATCAACTGCGGACTTCCTTTTGCTCCATTGGAATCATACTTGTCAGGTTATCTTTCTGCACCTTTGTTAAAATGTGTCCAAACAATGTCGGGAGATCTTCCGGCATTCTTAGAATTTGGCAAATAAGAATCAAAATTGCTTGACATAATAATAAAAAAGGAAAATATTATATACAGAAAGGTTCTTTTTATGGAATATACAGAACCCTACCAAAAATAGCAATTCATTCTATAAAAAAGGAAACTAAATTGTAGCTCAAAATTTTTGTAAAACCAATGTGACATTTATCACAGACGTGATGATTAAATTTGTGGGCTGGGGGTGGCAGGAATTACACAGTGTTTACCAACTCTAAGAATTAATCCTTATTTGTCACATAGGTTCTGTATATTTCATAAAAAGAACCTTTCTGTATATAATATTACCCAATAAAAAATATTAATTGAATCGGGATTCGATTTTCAATTCGATTTAAATTTTAAAAATTTTAATCGAAATGTTGTAATCATCGAAATTGATTTCGAAACTAGCCGTCACACTGAGTAAAGTTTGCTGGTTGGTCACCGGTTATCCGGTTAATTGGGTGTAAGGGATTCGTTGGTTAGTCGGTTGTTGAAAATATTCGACGATTGGATGGATGTATAGTTGACAATTAATCGTAAAAATAAAGGTAAAAATATTTTCCACGAGATTATAAATCCCGTAGAAATATTTTTTTAATTAGAACATTAATTGGTTAATTTGTTCAAGTGAAATTTTATAACTGGTAAATTAACCAATAATAATATACAGTAATCCAATTAAAAATTTTTTTCTTTATCAGCTCTATTTTCCTTCGTAGTCCTTGTAGTAATGATAATAATAGTAGTAGCAGAAGTAATTGATGTTTTTTCCTTAGTCAATTAATAATAGTTGTAGTAATTTTTTTCTTTGTAGTTAAAATAGCATTTGTTTTATAACAAATGATGTTATTGCAACGCAAAAAACAATAATAATAATAATTTAATAATTTTTTTTTCCACTAGCCAATAGTCATCATAGTATATAGGGTTTCTACTCGAATAAAGGCTATTTGTTTTATTCCGAATTACATTGAATGTCTATTCGAATATAACGAATAAAGTAGGATTAAGAATTCGAATAAACAGAATAAATTCGAATTAAATTACAAGTCCACCCAAAAGAAAAAGTAAAGATTGATATATGTGTATTCTGGTTAGATGAACAATAAAATTTGTAACGCTAATATTGATGGGTTAAACGATTAACGGTGTCAATAATACTCTCTTTTGTTCGTTTGGTACAACACGATAAAAATGCGACTTTCTAATCCCATTTGATGATCATATACTGGCTTTAAAATTCGTCTTATAATGATAAAATTCGGTTTACTCCACACTGTCAAATCACCCAAATCTTTCATAAATAAATTTTATTATTTTATACGTTTTTATTTAAACTATTATTAATAATAAAAAATCGTTTTTCATAATCCGAATTTCGGTAACCCGATCCATTTTTAAAGTTCGGCTTATCGAGATTTGACTATAATAGATTTTTCCGATCATGAAAATTTAGCGTACCTTCTGTGCTTAGTCACAATGTGCAAGTTATCCCTATATTGTCATTTCACATTACATAAGCTAGCCAGCCATTAATTAATTTAATTAGGTTAGCTTGATAATTAAAAAGCCATCAAATGAAACAAGTTAACCTTAACCGGTTAAAGTATTTTGTTATCATTTAACCGTAGTCGATAATAAAGGAAATTAATACGTTTTTAATTGTAGAAATTTAAATTATTTCGCTAGGTGAAATGAAGCCACATTCACATTGTCAGCTAAATGCAAGAGAATGGAGAATAAAAGTGAGATACGACTAAATTTATTTGCTACCTATTGAAGCCTTTGAAGCGTTAAAAAACTTTCAATATGAAATTTTCAAATTTTATATCAAAACGACGGTCTTTGTTCCTTGGCTTTATTAAACTGTATTTTTTTGAGAAGTATGGGAACAAAATCAAAAGGTAAAAGTTGTGGCGAGCAATTTTGCTGTGTTGACTGCGATTTTTCAAATATTTGATTTATTAATTGAAAATTTCTAACATCAGAAATCGTAAATGTTGAACATAAACCTTGAATGTGAGTTAAGATTCATTTTCACGTTTATTTTGCTTTAAAAAAAAAAAAAAAATGAATAGATTATTATATGCGCACTCTTCAAAATAAACAGGACCTGCAAACTTCATAGATAGGCCAGTAACAAAAATTCCTATTTGTTATATAATTTGACCCAGACCAAAACTAAGTTTAATATATAATTTGACCCTATGGGTTTCAACAACGTTAGATAATTAATTTGACCCATAATATATATTAACATTAAAAATTTTGAAACTGTGACGAAATCAAATAATGATTTTAAACTGATTTATAATTTATTAATGTAGAATATCGATTTGAATTTTTTTGCTATCATGTATGAAAAGCATGTTGTAGATGATTACTTAATACTAAATACCAGTTTTTCACCAACATCTCGAGTATATAATGAGTAAGTCTTTCGCGATTTATCGAATCGGATAAATAAAAAAACTCGAGATTTTTTTTATTTATTCAATAATATAAGCGGATTATAAATAAATGCCAGATGGTCATCTTATTCTTCGGGGTGAAGCCAACAGCCCCGAAGATGTAATAATTAAAGAAAAAAAAGAGAGTTCTATTACAAATAAAATAAAAAAAATTTGTTCAGAGTGCGGTAGTCGTGACATCAAGTACAAGTTTTGTATAAGTTGTGAAAAACAATATTTTATACGACAATTCGGCCAATGGACAAGTAACAATGTCGAAATAGATAGATTTATAAAGTATACACAAACCAAAGCAATGGCTCAAGTAGAATTTTTCGAGTGGATAGAGTGGTCAGAATTGGATCTTATCGAGTATGAAGACACAGGATTATATAGTACAATTTATTCGGCATATTGGATCGATGGGCCTATTTTATTATGGGAAAAAACCATGGACTGTTATATAAGAAATGGACCGATCAAGGTCGCGATTAAAAGATTCAACAATTCTCAAAATATATCTGAAGAATTCATCAATCGTGTAATTATTCCAATTAATTAATAATGTAATTTATTAATAATTATTATCTAATTGATTAAATTTATTGATGCAATTAATTTAGTTATATAAATTACATAGTTGTGTACGAAGCAATTATATTATTGATTGTTTCGGACTTACACGAGACAATACTTCGTGTTTTTGTTTGGTAATGAAATATTATGAAAATGGGAACCTTTATCAATTTCTTGACAAATCGAAAGGTGTACTTTGTTGGCGCGATATAGTTGAAATACTCTGGTCAATATCCAATGGTCTAGACCATATCCACCGTCAAAAATTATTCCACGCAAATCTTCACGGAGGAAATATATTGGTTGACAATGAAAATGATTTTATATATACATGCATTAGTGATGTTGGATTAAATATTCCAGGGGGGAGAGTAGAAGGTGAAGAAACGTTTTCTTCTGACGAGAATAACATATACGGAGTGCTTCCTTATATAGCACCTGAGGTTTTATTAGGTCGTTGTTATACTTACAAATCGGATATCTACAGTTTTGGACTTTTGATGTGGACATTAGCAGCAGGGACAAGACCTTTTTATAATGTGGCGCATAACGAAGTGCTAGCGCAAAAAATTATAGATGGAGAAAGACCAAAGATAAGCAAAGACGCGCCCAAAAGTTATAACGATCTCATGGAACAATGTTGGAATCATGATCCCACGAAACGACCAACAGCTTCGAAATTATATGAAACAATCGGATCATGGTTTACAAAGATCTGTAACGATCCTACTCCTACTGAAATTTCAGTGGAATTTGATCAAGCAGAAGAAATAAAATTTTTGAAACTCGAAAAATATACATTCCAAAAACGAAGGATTCATAAGGAAGCGATTTACACAAGTCGTTTATTAAATTTCCCAGCACTTCGGCAATAATATCAAACGTAAACATAACAAACTTCAAAAAAAAATTTTTAAAAAACCTCTATATTTAATCTTGATTTTAATTTTTTAATCTTTTAATTACGATTTATTTTTTTTGATGAGATTGATTCGGATAATCTATATTAGTATTTGGTATTTCAACTTCGCTTTTTTTTTTCGAATAATAGGATTTCGATAACAATAGATAGGATTATGATTTTCATATGTCTTCAAAAAAAATTTTTTTACGTTATTTATTCATTCATTTAAAACACACACACACACAAATCTATGACAAATTTTGGCATTTTTATCATTTCCGTTATTGGCAAAAGCTGGATGTTAAAAAAAAATTTCGTTATCGTTTTTATTTAAGAACAAGGAAAAATTAATTTACATAATAAGTGATAAATAAAAAGCAATCAAAT